CCTAAGTTTCCATCCTCCCCCTTCCTGGCTGTTGTGGCTCTTTTCTCTCTGCTGCCCCAAATAAGCCTGAAGTCACTCAATTCTCATCCCTTTAGTGGTGAATTTATTTTTGAGCACTGACTTCTCACGTTCGAGTTGAGCGAACAATCCTTGGGAGCCCAAATTAGAAATTGCGCCGGGGGTTCAGTCCGGCCTCTCTGCAACTGCATCTCTGGCAGTGCTGCACATCAGGGGAAGGGAATGTGAGGCTGGCTCAGCTGGCAATTAAGGCTTCTCCTACCTGCAGTGTTTTACATTACTAATGCTGATGTGCTCTCTGTCAGGTTAGCAAGTTAGTCACTGGGTTAAGAAGGTACTGCGTATAAAAGGCATAATGTGGAGCAGTGGCAAAACTATCAGTAGGGGATTTTTGGAGGATTGTGACTGGCTCTGTCCAGATTGCCTGCAGCTGCTCTGTGTAGTTATTTAAAGCCCCCCCTTTACATGGTAAGCAGGAAGTTAATTTATGGGGATATCAGTTAATCTGAAAACAAGAGGTGGATCGAATCGGAAGTTAGAGACAGGAACGTGAAGAACTCATGCTGGAGATCTTGGCAGTGTCTGGGCAATCGTGTAAGAGGCAAAGCAAAGGAGGTATTGCAGAGTTCTGTGGAACTCCTGGCACTGTGTGCCTCTTATCTAAAGGACAAAGGAAGCTTACTTGTGCCAGGTGGCAGCATTCTTGCCTAGGAATCATATTTTTAACACTTGTATACACAGGCAGGATTTTTCCATAATCACATGGCAAAAATAGAGTTGTTCCCACTGGAACTGTGATAAGGCAGGTAACAGCCCAATATGCTGTGGGGTGTATAGACAGTATCACACCCCAGGTAAGCTCTGTCTCCAGAGCTTTCTGGGGCATCTGTGGTCTCTCTTCATGCCAAGTTAAAGGTAAATGTAAATTAGAAGAAATGGCTTGTTCACACAGATCACATTATTTAATTACAGACAGAAGGAAAAATGCTGTATCTTAAATATGTTGCAGAAGCTGTTGGTTTGATTATTTTTCCTTCTTGGTTTTACAGACAGGAAAATCAGGCATGTGTTGGGTAAGCGACCTGTCTGGCATCACCCAGTAGGTCAGGTAGCACGAAAGTGGGTTTTTTATGGCTGATGGCAAAGCCTTATGATTAATAAATGAGGTGCAGTGTAGCAAGTGGTTTTAGTGTTGGAAATTTGATGTTTAAGGAAGTGAAGTCACAGAAATGCTGCTTGCAAAATGGAATTTTAGATGAAAATGTGGACCCCAACTATAAACTGTGAAATCCACAGCCCTCTCTTCAGCCATTATTTACTTATTCTTGTTTTTTTATGAGGCATTATCTTGCTAATTCTTGAGACTTATACTTTCTCCTGTACTCCAGATTTCTGGTTCACAGCTAATAGGAAGGCAGCAGGTTGACTACCTGCTTCTTAGGCAAGCAGGCAGTGAACAGGAATAACTGAATGAAGTGTGTCATTCTCATTGCCCTTGACAAGGATGTCTGTTAGTCCTGTAAAGGGCTTTTCTTTAACCCTGCCCATTAAAGCTGACAGGGTGGGTGGTGATTCCAGCTCTCCTAAGAGTGCTCTGCTCCTTGTAGCAGTCATTGCTTCTTTCTCAAACATGTTCAGTTTGGCCCATCAGGTACTTTCTGTGCACAGGCCAACTTCCACTCCTGGGCACAAAAGGCAGGTGATGTCATGTCAGCACTGAGGTGTTTTAGCTTCAGAATCATCTTAGTGATCAAAAGAGGACCTTTTTTGTTCCTGCAACAAGATTGATCTGCAAGATGGCCAGTGTGTTTGCTCCAGGCTCTCTGTGCTGAAAAGCTTAGGATTAGGGTTCTCCTTTTGTTTCCAATAGTGTGTGTTTATTCCTGATGGCATCGCTGGCCTTCCTCAGTCAGAGCACATGTTAATGTAATGCTTGGATAATACAACCCAATAATTACAAGAGGGAGCAAAAGGCCTATTTGCCTACACATGTGTATGTTAGGAAATAAAAACTCAGCATTCACCAGGTGGAACATCAAAAGCAGCTTGGCCTGTAATTGGGTTACATGATGCGCCTGACACGAAGTTCTACTGAGACAGCTCATGCAACTCAGCTTATTCATGCTTTCCTTCAGTCATTAGCTAATGATATCTTGCTCAAATGCCTGTGTGCTCAGTCCATATATTTAAGCACAAATCGTGAGTAAAAGGGTGAGAATGCAAAAGTCTTCAGCAGCTGAAGTTTGGAGTCAGCACTGAGAGCAGATCACTCTGCACCTTCCAATTTGTGTAGTTATCTGGGCACTGTTAATAAAACCTACTTCATGCTAATGTTGTGCTATTAATATGTTCAAATACAAAGCACTGGTGAGAAACTTCTTAGAAGTACTTGGAAATGCTGATTTCTGTTGATAGCAAAACTAGTGTAGTACTTTTGCTTAGTTAACACAACAGAGAAGGAAAAAAGGTCTGGCCAGAAGTAAAATACAAATGGATATGGAATCCAATTCTAGTGCTTAGTTTTGCCTTTCTGTGACAAAATGTTCTTTTGCTTTGTTTTTTTTTTAATAAATAGAATTGATACATCATTCTTAGATTTTAATATTGGGTACTACTGGCTTTTCTGGTTATTCACGGTAATTTCTGATAAATACATTTGAGCATGTGTGCAAAGGAAACTTGTTTGTTGTATTTCAGTCACTCATTTTAGTTACATTGTTGTATTTGGATGTGAAAGAACAAAATCATGCTACTCCCTTCTTCCTAAATATTTAGGATCTGGGTTTAATGTCGTGGAAAATGTGTTCTGAAGTTAGATTTTATCAGGTACTAGCATTTTCTCAGTCATTTGAGCAACTAGAATACTTCTGTTTGCATGGTACTCCACAGCAGCAGCTTACAAGTTCAGGACCACTGAAGTCAGCAGACCCTCTGTTTGCTTACAGAAAGATGTTTAATTTCTTGGCAATGTTGGTAAATTCTGTTTTTCCGTTGCTTTAGATAATATTTACAAAACAGGTGCAATTTAAATACTCGCACTGCTGCTTTGCAAGAGCTACGGAGGTGCTACATGTGTGTTTAATACACAGATGCTTTAGAGAACTGACTGTTGTACTGCAAATAACACCCATGCAGGTTAAGAAAAATGTAAGAGTGTGATGGCAGCAAAACTTGCTTTTAAACTTTATTTTGTAGACCGTTTTAGTAGAAGGGGAATGAAAAATGCATTATGTAAGGAGTCTCTAAAGGGAGATTCTGAGTTCAGTACAACTATTCAAGTCATCTAGCATGCACACAGAATATTTTGACAAATTTAATTTGATTGGTACAGCCACCTGGAAAACTCCAATGGCAATTTGTTGGCATAAGCAGTGAGTGAATTTGCAGGTTTCTGTGTTTCAGTCTGGAATAACACTTGAGCAGTCGCTGGGGCACACTGGGAGTTCTGCCATTATCCACTCCAGATAGTGCAGCTGTATTAGGAATTCTGTTTCAACGCTGTTTTTTCTTTTGCTGTCACTTTTTTTCCTTCCAATGGCTCGTGGTTTCAGAACTCACTTAAAATCCGGGCAAGTCGGAGGATTTTAGTGTCAGTTCTGAGCATGCCCTTCCCATGGGAAGCCAAGAGGAGGATGGAGGGGTATGAAGTGTTTTTTTCCAGTTGCACAACCCGTGCTGGCTGCACCTTTATTTATCGTGGTGATGGCCTGACAACAGAAACGTCCTGGTCGCGAGAGGTGGGAGCGCTGTCATTCCCTGAGCAGAAATCCCAGCGTGGCTCAGCTGCCCCTCACAGCTGGGCCAGAACACTCCCGTTGGACTGGATGGCAGGACTCTTCCCTCAGCACCTCCTGAAATGGTGGATTGGGTTTGAGTGCCTGGCGGTATTGCAGGCTCCCTGAAATGTAGGCTGGGACTGTTGTCAAAATGTCTCAGCTGCTCAAGGGAGGCTTTTTTGCATTTCTGTGCTCCCCACTTTTTGGGGAGACTGTCTGTTAAATGTAAGTGAAGTGTGTGATCAGAGCTGGGATTGCTGCAGTGCTGGTACTCAGTCCTGCTGCTTACTGAAAATTGATTGATCCTCTGCTGCTTGTAGCTACTCTCAGCTTTGTTATTAAGGAATTTATTGTTTCTTTAGAGGAGGGCAGAGGAGTTTTACTTCAGTTTGTTTTAAGGCAGAAACCTGAATTGGGTTCCTGGTTTTTATGTGTAAACATTCCTTTATTACACATTTCTCTCTTTGTGCAGATTTGTGTTCAATGTGAGCTCTGGACTTTTCCAGATAACATGTTTGTTAATATAACAAGCAAGAACTGTATGTGATAGAAGGCAAATAAAACCAGAAAATGGCTTTTTTTTTTTTTTTGTGCTGGCTGTGCTCTAAAATACAAATTAAAGCATTCAGAGTGAATTTTTTCTCTGTAGTGTGATGATGGGAGTTTTCCAGAGCTCGATTCCCTTCCTTCCCCTTGCACACTGTCCCCAGGCACACCTGAGCTTCTCCTGCAGTGTTCCAGAACCTGTTTGTCCAGGCTGGAAATACAGACTCCCTTGCTCAAAACAGAACTGCTTGGGCTGAAAGCCTGGCCGTGGGGGTACTGGGATCTGCTCCTACTCACTGTTGTGTAGGATTGTCACTAAAAAGGGACCCAAACCACTGTCAGCATCTCCCTGAACCCAAGGCCTTGGTAGTCTTTGGCCGTGGTGCAGAGTACATGGATTGCCCGTGTTTGTTGATTGTATGACAGTGGGAATGGAGAAAAACCGACCAGGAATGTTTAAGATGTGGTGATACAAACTGGCTAATGTAAGCAACTGTTTACAGAGTTAACTATTAATTAAGTGTTGAAAGGAACAATGTAGATTAGGAAGAGCAATTGTGATGAGAGCACCTTTTCTGAACCTGATCTCTGCCTCAGAGCTACTGATGGTGGGGAAAACAAGGACACTGCATTTGTAGCTTTACTGAGGGCTGCTCCAGTATGACTGCTCGGGTAAGAGGCATTGCTCTGTGGTTAGACCTGACTACAGGGGGAAAAAACCTGGGGCAAAGGACTAACTCTATACTAACTTTCCACAGAGGCAGCACAGGTTGTCTGAAGCTGTGAGAATATGTGAGAAATTACGGGAGTACAGTTTATGCTGTGGCTCTTAAGAGGGCCAGTGTTTCCATTCAAAAACAAAACAACCCCAAAGACAACAACAAAAACCAACCACACCAAACCCACCCAATAAAGTGGGCGGGTGAAGTAAAACTGAAGTTTTACTTCAGGTGCGAGATGAATGGTTTGGAAAAGCAGTCCAACCTGATTTTGGTTTGGTTCTGGGCTGCTGCTTTTGTATTTCTTACCAGGGCTTAAGTTGCTGTGGCAGATTTCTCAGATTGCTAGGCAGGTTCAAAACAAGGGCAGCCTCGCAGGTCTGAACATGAAGACATGGAAGGGGAAGCCCGTGGTTGGACTCTGGGTGGGGGCATGGACACTGTCCATGTTGAATCCTTGGCAATAATTTACCACTGTGGATTACTCCAGATGATTGAAGGTCTTATCCCCAAATGAAGCCGTTCAAAACACTGCAGACCCCCAAAATGCCAAGAGAGGAACTGACAACTAATCCTGAGCTCCCTACCCCCAGATGGAGCGGAGTGGAGCTGGTTTGGCTGACAGCCTTCTCATGTCAGGCCATCTGCAGGTGCTCCTGGCCCACCCAGCTCCTAAACCCTTCCCAGCACCGACCCTTCCCACAGAGACACTGGAAGTGAGGGAATCTCCTTTTTATAGCAGTGGGAGCCGTGGCTGTAGTGGGGGTGGCTGGGGAATGCTCGGGTTACTCCGTCAGGGAGACTGCAGAGCAGCTGGTGCAGGCCGGGCACAGAATGCCTGGAGTCCGCTCGGAGCACCAAGGTGCTTCTTCCCACTGTGGAATCATCAGTCTCCCTCCCAGCTCGCCCTGTGGACACTTGGCTCTGCCTCGGCCTCGCATTGTTGTCGGCTGAGCGCACCTCACATTTATTTTCCTGCAGATGCAGTTTGCTGACGTAACCGCACGTCCCCGCGGATCCCGGGAGAGGAGGCTGCCGGGAGGGCTCTGGGTGCGGGGTTGTGCCGGTGGGAGGTGAACAAGCACATGTTTGTTGGTGCGTGGGGTTCTGAAGGCCCCTGGACAGCCTGTGTTGAGCAGAGGAACGTGGTTTCCTGGTAGGGTGAATTTAAAATGACTCATCTGTCGGCGGTGGATCCCGGTGCAGACCTTGGCATGAGATCATCCTTGTTCTGCAGCTGGGAAAGCCAACTTCAGATTGCTGCTCCGTGCGAACTTTCTAGGCCTGGCTCTCCTCTGTGCCTCTTCCAGAATTCTTCCTTTGTGGAGGTTTTTTTTAATGAGTAAAAGGAAGTGGAGCATCGGGGCTCAGACTTTGAACTTGTTCCTTTCCGTGTTTTTTATCTTTATTAGTTTCCTTAAATAATAGCCTTTATTCTCTGAAGTTTCATTGCTTACAGGAATTCTCAAAAATTGCTTTTTAAGGGGATACTGTCATATAGAAAGAACACTGATAATTTGGATGGTAAAATAGTTAATTCCTAATGAATTGGTATATTAACGTGTACAGAAGCAACATGAAATATTTTTACAGCTTAAACAACTCTTTAAAAATAGGGTTTCCAACACTTGCACCATATGTCCCCTTATTAAATTCTCCTCTTACTGAATAATGACATTACCCTCTGAATGACAGAGGTGCTTGTTATATGATCTGACTTAGAGATACATCTGGAACTTGGCCCTCGCGGGGTCTCAAAATAGAATGACCGATGCAGGAAGAACTTACTAGAGGACTTGTGAAGTCTCTGAGGACAAACCACTTCCACCCTTGCCAGGGCTTTGACATTGTCCAGTGAGCCCACTCAGACAACGCAGGGATTTTTTCATCTTGCTTTTCAGCCTTTTCCTCTTTGTTAGACTGTCCTGCCTTCCCCTCCCCTCTCCCTCAATATTTACTGAACCGAATCCTCCCTTTGCTGGAAGTCAATATATTCTTCAGTGTGCAGGGTCAGTATCTCTTCAATTAGTTGGGGGAAGAACAATACCAACAAGATTGTGTTTCTGATGGGATTAGTCTTCCTTGAAAATGTTCTTTCAGATGTTACCTGTAGCACAGATGTGTTCTGAGAGGTGCTAAGGAAATGCCTCTTGTTTGAGTTGGATGAGCTCCAGCTGAAGAGGGTGGGCTGGTGGCTGAAAGCTATAAATGCATGCTAAATAAGAAATCTTGTAGTTAGGCAGGTGTTTTAAAGCCCAAGTTAGTATTTATGAGAAGTGGGGCTAAAGGCCCCACATATGAGCAGATTTTTTAGCTTCCTCTCTTCTGCTGCCTGCAGAGTTAGCACCTGCTGTTTGCTGCCCGGCACAGGCCTCAGAGGTCTCAGCTCCTCATACGCAGCTGATGCTGCTTTTAGGACAGACCTTCAGGCAGCTTTTTCTTACCGGCTTTACTGAGCTACCAATAAACACCGTGTGATGTTTTTAACTTCCAGGAAGGCCAGTCCTCAGCGAACGGCCCATCTCGCGACAGCCCCAGGCAGCCGCCGGCAAGAGAAGGAAACATGGGATACCCCAAGCTCCGGGCCGGCTACATCCCCATTCCCGTCATCCACGAGGGCCTGGACGGCAGGCAGCAGCACCCGTGCTTCTCAGCCCCGCAGCCCGGGCCACAGAGGTACAAGGCAGAAGCTGTGCCCAGCACGGTGCAGGCACAGCCGCCGCTCCGAGGGGCCTATTCCAGCCCCGAGTCCCCCGTGCGGGGGCCGGCGGAGGCCGCGCAGGCGGATAAACAGTGTGGACAGACAACGGCAGCTGCGGCACCGGCGGCACACGGACCCGAGGTAACCGCGGCACCGCGGGCTGGCTCCGCTCGGCGCCCGCAGCCTGTGTGGCCTCAATGTCACACGGGGAGTTGATCCTTCAGAAAAGCCAGACTTGCCACGGGATTGCATTTTCCCGATGCTTTCCCAGCATTAAAATGCAAAAGTTGCGCAGTCACGGCGGCATAAACGTGTCTGGGTTTTGTAGAGTCACCTGCTTCCACTCTGCAGTGGTTCTGCAGAGATAAATGCGTGTGAAGGACTTCTGCACAAAGCAGCCTCTGAGCCAAGCAGGTCCTGCAGCAGGGGAGGGTTGTTCAGGGGTTATACAGGTTCCCTCACAAGTGGAGGATAAAGACAAGTCTCTTGTGTTCTGCACCATCAGCCAAAGTGAAGTGAACAAAGTGGGAGAGACAAAAATAAAAGTGTCCAGTCAGCGAACAACCCAGGCCACTTCAGAAGTTCTTAATTTAATATTTCAGTTGTATAAAGAGTATGGATTTACATAAAAGCAGATTTGAAAGTGAATTGTAAGGTGGTTTTGTCCTTCGGTGGCATGTGAAAATATTTTCAAACTATGAACTTATTTGAAAAAAGTCACCCTGCTTGTTCTGTGTTTCAGCTGGTAGGATTTTGGTTGGCCTGTTCTCTGTGGAGAACTAGCAAATTGGTATTCTTGTAACATATGGAAATACCAACCTCATTTTTATTCAAAGTAAGATGAGCAGGAAATTCAGCCTTCACCAAGCTGAAAACATATCAGGTCTGTAATTCAGCAGTAGTGGCATCTTGTCTGAAACTTATTTGGAGTCTGAACAATGTAATTAAAATCCTGTTGGCAGGTTTCTCAGCTGTCTTGACTAACGATGCCTTGTCCATGCAGCACCAGGACAAGAGGCCCAGCTTTTCCTGCTTCCAAGCTTTGTGTTGTCTGCAGAGTGGCTTCAGGAATGTGTCTTCTGTGCCACTTACTGAAGTCCTGAGAGATAACCAGAGAGGACTCAGAAGTTGAAGTGACAAAGTTAGGCAGTGCAGTGACGGTACCAACTGAGCAGAGTCTGTGTCGGTGACTGCAAGCTGTGTGTCAGCAAGGCCAGCAGTAGTGCCAGTGCTGGGGGCTATGATGCAAACCAGCAGTTGTTTATTTAGGTTGCTGTTTCATGGGCAGCTGAGCATTCACCAGCACCAAGAGGGGTCTTGTTCCCCTTTTCTCCTGCCTTGCCTGCCCTTCTCTTGCCTTCTGGCTGTGTTGTCCTGCCCTCTCCTGTGCCAGTTCCAGTCTGACTTGGCCTTTCACTGAGCTGTGTCACACACCCAGAAGGGAATCAGCTGCTGGGGCTGGTGCAGAGTGGGTGAGGGGATGGACTGGCAGAGCAGGAGGTGGGAGGCAGCTGGGAACAAACTGCAGACCCCCAACCTTGAACATGCTGAGAACTGGATTCTGCAGCAGCTCAGCCCAGTGCTTGTTTCTAACAGCAGGTCTAAGCTAGTGCAGCTCCTGCTGCTGGTGCCAAGGGGTTGAGGTGCTGGAAGGTCCAGGAGAGGGGGGAAGAAGGGGCATTAGCCATATGTGTATTGCCATAGCCTGATACCAAATTAGTGACATGCTTTATAAAAACCCCAACAAAACATACAGAATCTGTTAGTGGGAGTGGGATCAGAAGTCAAAACGTTGTGTGCCTCTGTTAGGGTTTGATTTTTGTCTCCAGCTTAGAATTTGTTTGCTTAGCTTACTTTACCTCAAATTTGACAGGTTTAGACAGGAACAGCCATGCAAAAGCAGCAAACGTTCTGACTGAGCATCCACTCCCTGCTCATTTGAGGGCTGGGAATGCTGTAGCTCAGGTTTCTGCTTGTTCTAATGATGCTCTCACAACTTCTGTGGTTTGTCTAGTGGGGCTCTTGGCCAAAAAACCAGGGAAATGGAGCCCTTGCATGCCGGAAACACAAGTTCAGTTTCTATGATGACTGTCTCCTTTTCTCTTTAAAAATGAAAAGTATTGTGAGCACAAAATGGTTAAAATGTACTAATGGATTTTGTTTTCATGGCAGCCTCAACCTCCAGGAGCATCTGATTCTCCAACAGTTTCCCCTCAGTCCTCTGGCAGACCCAATGCAGGAAGCCACCAGCTTCCTCGTGGTTATATTCCAATTCCCGTGATCCATGAAAATCTCCCCCGTCAGCCGACACAAGCCTACCACCAGGCCCAGAAGACACACTACCCTGCCCAGCAGAGCGAGTTCCAAGCCCACCAGCCGGTGTTCCACAAGATCCAGCCCGAGGAGAGGGAGCCCAAGGCGCCGCGGGCGCAGTCTCCGTTCAGGGTGGCTCAGAGAGGCTCTTCGAGTCGGGAGAGTTCACCAGCCAGAGTTACCACCCAGATCCAGCCCCCAGCTCCCATCAGAGTGCAGACAGTTGTAGACAGACCCCAGGTACGTAGAGCTGGGAAGGGAATCACCTCCCAGGGACTTTAGGCTAGAGCTGGAAAGTGAGCTTGTACTAACACATACATGAAAGCACATAAAGCAGTCTCCGTTTCGAGATTTAAACAGGCTGGGAGATACTGAGATTAACATTGGGAGATACTGAGATTAACATTGGGAGATACTGAGATTAACATTAGCAGCGAGTTGCCTTTCCACCTCTCAGGACTGTGGAGTCTTTGGATCACTGAAATGTGATTTAAGACATGATTTGATCTTCTCTCGTCAGAGTATAATTTGGTGTAATTACACTGAGGTCACTGATGTTGCGTTATGTTTATGAGAAGAAAATCAGGTCCATGGGATTTGTGACACCTATGTAAATATACTTCACAGATGTCTCAGAGCCATTTAGGGATAGCATCAGATGCACAAAATCATTTTAGCTATGAAGAAAAAGGATCAGCAAAACCTAGTCTTAGAGCTTTTTATTCTTCCAACTTGAAGCATGCTCTTGGTTGTACAACCTGTTGCTCGTTGAACACTTTTTCCATGTTAAAATTTTTACTAAAAGTGCAGTTAAAGACTACTGGGAATTAGACAGCTGTGAGTGTGTGGAAGTGGGTGTGTACAAGCCTTGATTTCCTCTCTGGAGAGAAAAATGAGAGGAGCAGAATTAGGTTAATATATTTGAAAACCCATGTGCTAGGGCAAAACAAGGAAGACTTCAGGTTAAATAGCATATTTTAGGTCATAGTGCTAATTTATTTTTGTGGGTGAGAGTTTGTGCTCCCTGCTCAATTTTTATGTTCAGTGGGTAAAGCAGTAAGAGGTTGTCAGTGCAGGCCACTTACTTATTTGGTTTAAATAAAATATAGATATTTTAGGTAGAAATATAAATATCATATAGAAAATGTAGATATTTCAGCCATCTAAATCCATGAGAGCTGGATTTGGCATCTTTCAAAATCCTTGTATATGTGCACAAACAAGTAAAGGAGGTGTCAGGGAAAGGAAAACACAGATCTCACAAAATGCAGTTTTCTGCTAAGATTTCAAAACTAATCTCAATTTCAAGAGGTTTCTGATTTGATGCCATAGATCTGGAGTAATCCCAAGGATTGTCCCTAATCACTCCAGTGTAATAAGATTGACACAGTAACCTCTGCATGTAAATACGCTAAAGATAAAATCAGTAAAAATAAGCACTAGCAAAAAAAAAAAAAGGAATGCCCTGAAAATAGGAACAGGATGAAAATAGCCCAGAATGTGATTAAAACTCAAAGTAGTTGGCTTTTCAAGAAAGGTGAGCTCTCAATTATTGACCCACAGGAGGAAATCTTGACTGTGCTGCTGTCAGCTGCAAAAGGTCTTACTGACTTCAGTCAGATCCAGTCTTACAGAACTGCTCATGGGGCTGATTTTATTGAGCACAAGCAGGATTTGGTGTGTTGAAGTTTAATGTTTGTGAGAGTTGATTTGTGCCTGTAGTCTGCAATAGCTTGGAAATGCTTTTCAGCACAGTGCTGTTTTTGAAAACAGTAAAATTCAGCAGTGCACAAGAATGATTAATCATCTCGTGTGAAAATGGCACTGCTAGGAGGACAGAAAGCTGGGAGTTAGGTTACTTGTTCTTTAGAGGGAAATAAGGAGCTTTGTGTCTCAACACAAAACTTGCCTTGCTCACCAGGTTTCTCAGCAACAAGTCCCTCCTCAAGAGCCACCAAGAGCACCCCCTGCGCCTGAAACGAAGCCTGAGAACAAGGCAGCCCCACCGCCCGAACCTGAGGCACCGTCAACATATATCCCAATTCAGGTCACCCACCAAGAACCAGATCCTAAACTACCACCCCAGAAGCCTCCAGCCATGGCAGAGAAAGCTGATAAAAAGGCTCCTCCCCCTGCTAAGGTTGCTCCCCCACAGGAAAGGCCTCCTCCTGAGGAAGCGCCGCCGCCGCCGAAGACGGTGGAAACAGGAGAACCTCCAAAGCATCCTGGTGTTTTGAAAGTGGAAGCAATCCTGGAGAAAGTACAAATGCTTGAGCAGGCAGTCGACTCCTTTGAAGGCAAGAAAACTGACAAAAAATACTTGATGATCGAAGAGTATTTGACCAAAGAGTTGCTAGCCCTAGACTCAGTGGACCCTGAGGGTCGTGCGGATGTGCGCCAGGCCAGGAGAGATGGTGTAAGGAAGGTCCAGACCATTTTGGAAAAACTTGAACAGAAAGCAGAAGATGTCCCAGAACCTGTTGATGGACTTCAGCCAAATTGTCCAGAGCCTAAGCCACCACAGGAAATCATGGAGATTGAACCTGTGGTAGTCAAGAGTAAGGGAGATACCAGTAATAAAAATGCTAAAGAGGAAACCAAAATGGAAAGACATCAGCCTGAAACTAAGGAAGAAGTGTTTACCAATCTGGCTACTACGACAAACACATCTAATAACCCAACTGAACCATAGCTATGTGCTGAAATCCACATCTCTCAGACTTTATAACTTAAAGTGTGTTTAAGTGAATTTTAAGTTGCATGCATTTCCGGAGCTCTTTTCAACTGGTTTTAATCAACGTAGCAGCTTGGGACACAGTAAACACTTTGTGGGGAAAGGAGGGAGCTAGAAAGAACGTAATGCATTTATCCTTTATTCTTACACTATGTAAAAGACATGTCTCAAAAATAAACCCTGTACATTAATTGCTTTTAGATCAGCTGAGTGGGGAAAAAAAACCAAACGACTTCAGGGTTAATACTGATGCGTGTTGTTTAGGGTGTATTCTTTTGCAGGTGATTTTTGTAAAATCAGTGGCCTGCATTGTCAGAATACCAGTCCTCTTATAAGTATAGCCACTCTTAACAGTAATGTTTTTATTTTTAATGTTCACAGTTGGGCACTTTAAGTAATGATGGATAGAAAGTGTGTAAGAAACTGTAGGGATATTTATATGTGTGCAGGACTTCAATGCTATATTTTAAGAGGGAAATAAAATGATATGGAAGCCAAATTTAGTCTTGTGATTTTATAAGGTGGAAATGTAAAGGCAGTAGTTGGATTTAAAAACACTCTCTAAACACAGATTTGTTAGCGCAGCGTTGTAGTTGAAGTCTGACAACTGTTTTCTCACCAAGACCAAAATGTGTCTTTCCTCATTCACTTCCTTCTTTTTGATGTTGTGCTGTATCCCATCTATGGACTCAGGAAGAAATTGGGCTTAGCATTTCCCTCCCTCCCCAGGAGTCACCATGTAACAGAAATGTTTATAACATTGAGATCTGTATCTGCTGCGGTTGTTTTACAGAAATTTACGGTATCTTAACTTCTTCTGCAAAGTCATTGTTTATTAACAGTATTTCTGAATTTCCAGCCAGACACACTCTGTGTTTATAGGCCCAATCTGAGTCCTCTCATTTTGTGAACAGTTTAAGCAGTACTTTGTTCTAAGTGATTAGAGACTTACACTTAAAGAAGGGCCATAAGACCTACTTCAGGTACGTCCTTGTCAAATGAAAGCAGCAGAGTCAGACCAGTGCAGAAGGAGTGCAAGGGAGGAGGGGCTCCTAACCAAAATCCAGAAGTTACCCTTGATTTGCATTTGTAAAATTAACAAATCTTTTTTTACCTGACAGCAGGTTTACAGTGTAGGAGGAAAAGTTCAATATAGCCGCTCAAGGCAATTGATTACTTACTGAACTATGCTCTGAATCAGGAAAGGGGATTGGAAATTGGGTTTAAACCCATCTGAAAATCTGTTTTTTAAGAGGCAGTTTGAGAGTCATCATTGAGAACTGTCACTCTTTATTTTAAAATAACATGTAAACTGTAGTGCAACGTGTGGTTTTGAAGTACCGGTGTGACTGTGAACTGTCTGCTTAGTTGTAGGTAGAAGGGTGATGCTTCTTTTAGTTTCATTTTGATGGTCAACATCATCATGTAAGAATACACAATGTCTTGTAGCCTTTTGGCTCCCCCAGCTTTGGGAGCAGCATTGTAAGCATGCTAGTGAAGAGGTGTGAAAGTTCATCTGCCTGCATGATTCTTGCATGAACTCACTTCAGTGACATATTGCTCAGGCAGGATTACATTTCAGTTGAGGACACGCATCCCTGACATCATGTAACAAAAATATTTAAATCGAGGAAAATCAGCTCTGGGTTTTTAGAACTGAGCTCTGAGGGAAGTCTGGGAGGCCCTGTCTCTGTATGGTTTTGTTTAGTAGTCCACTAAAACAATCCAGATTAAAACCACCTCATTAGCTGAGGTGGCACTGTACAAATTAAGATTGTAGTCTTAAAAATGTACTATTTACAGGAAGTTAAGCAGGTGCTAGCTTTTTAAACATGTCATCTGCTGCTAATGGAGCCTGATTCATGTTATACTATTCCATGTTAGTCAGAGTAGGTGGAGTCAAATGTAATTACAACTGATGGGGTTCTTTTTAAGAAGCAAAGCTGGAGGTAGAGCTACACTCTGCCAAGTGGCACTTAAAAAGTTGGTCATTAAAGTCAGTGATACTCCTGCAGAACTAGGTACAACTCAAAATGAGTGAGGTTTCATGATCTGGCCTAATAAGGGAAAGTACATTTGGCTGCCCTGGAGCTGCTGGGCTGGGAGACTGCTGCTCTGAGTCATAGTCTCTCTTTGTTTCCTCTGTTGCTCAAGACTAAACTGTGCCCAGTCCAGCATATATGTCTTGACACATCAGCATAGCTACAAATTCTGCATGAGGGCTGGGAGGAGGGAGTAGCCAAGGAGGAAGCAGCTGAAGATTCCCACCCATTCCCTGTAAGCTCCTGCCCTATTCCTTGCAGAGCCTGTTTGCTTCCTGGTGTTGGTACCAATGCTGGGGGGAGCTGGCAGAGGACAGGAAGAAGATTCTTCATCAACTTGCATTTCTGCAGCGTGGTGCTGGCTGGTCTGTGGCTTGAGCCTGGGTAATTTGGCTTTGAAACTCAGGTAGAAAGTACTCAGGGTTTTAATGCTCACAATAGGTGTTATGTTCCATCACATTACTTTTCACATATAGCTGTGCACAGCAAAAAGCAAATGTGCTGCTGAAAGCAAGGTGCTCAAATACAATGTGCAATTGCAGTAGCCATTTCAAAAAAATCGACTAAATGTCAAGCAGTTAATTATTCTAGAGGCAAACAATCCCCAAGTCAGGGAGAGGCACTGCTTCAGCTCATTTACAAGTAGCAAGAGGGGTATGAAAAGCCTGTACACGGAAGCACAGTGAAAGCTCAGGCTATTTTCTGAGTGCACTATCTTGTCCAGCTTGTGATATTTTAAATGCCACTAGTGGCCTGTTCTCTATATTTAAACTCTCCCAGCAGCAAGGCATTGTGTTTCCCATAAATATAGCATTTTGACTATTTATTTACACACAGCCAAATCATGCCCTGCCCTGAGGAAGGGGCAGCAGAAGCTACATTGCCCCCCAGAGCATGCTGAGACAACTGTGCACTCTGGTGTCTGATTCCTCCCTTTTTCCAGGGGGAGGTACAAGCTCTTTATCTGGGATATGTTTTACCTCCAGCTTTCTGTTAGCTCAGCTGTATTTGCAGACAAGCTGGGGAAGGAAAGGAGAACAAATCAAACTCCACCCAGAAGGCAGGAACGAAGCACAACAGTGTGGAGAGGCAGGTCATGCCCCTGCACTCCAGGAGCAATTAAGGCAGCCTAGGAAAGCCCTTGTATCCTGGGAAAGCTCAGGATCCTCAGGAAGGACATATCATGGAACTTCTTAAACTGGTAGTTGAAATAATAATAATAATAATAAAAAGCTTCTGGTGGCTGGCACATAGCTGCTGAAGAGGACAAATCTCCATCAAGGTATGTTTGTGACAAGGTTTTAATTTGCTGGGTTTTCAGTCTCCCTCCTTAGATGTGCATGTGTTGATCTTTTTAAATATAGAAGGCACTGCTGCATCCTGGACTTTAAGACATACAGAAACATGAGGGCAATATGGACTGAGGCCAAAGGACTAGTTATGGGCAGTAATGTCCGTGCTTTTGGTCCTGTTGCATCCAAGAAATTAAAATGCAGGTGTATTAGCAAAGAAATTTAAATGCTGTGAATGTTTAATATTATACAAATCTCTGGGTTTGTTAGAAAAGCTATCAGTACCATAGTTTTTCTGACAGAAACAAATCCAGCCCTTTTGGGCCACAGGGGTAAAGGAAGCCTTTAGAAATAACTAATCTGAGCTCAGTGCTTGCTGCAAAATACAGATTGAAGCCAGAAGTTAACCATACAAAATACCATTTCCTGAAACCTTACCATAAAGTATTAAAACTGAACCCCCAAATTTCTCTGGACATATATATAATATTGTCATTAGTGACATATGAGCACAATCATTTTAGCAATAGATACAATGATTTCATTGGCACTTTCACCTTTATTTTTGTGACTAGAAGCATTCTAATGGTACAGGAGAGCCAAATGAACAAGTGTGTTTGTTTTTCTCTTAAGGTAAAGCATTTGTTTGAAGGTAAATGGGTGACACTGAGGTCCATTAGCCTTTGTGCTGGATAATTTGGGTTTCCAAGCTCAGTATTGTGTGTGGTATCAGTCTCCACACCAGGAACCACGCTGTGTAACACTAGAGACCAGTGTAATTGTATGCCAGCCTCTGCCACCCAAGGCAAGAGTTATTTTAAGATGGGCAAGAAGCTGGTTACAAAGCAGGGGAACATACCAATTCTCAGTCAAATTCCTTTCCAGAATTTATAAATAAGCAATTTTTAAAAAGAGGCGAGTTCAGTTGTTTCCTACTGGAATTTCCACTGGAATTTCCACTGCTGTCTCCAGAAGCTGGAAATCTACACCAAAGGAACGGGCCCAGCTTTAGTTTCCATATGTCCTTGCCCCAGCAAACTGATGCAAGCAGAAGTGGAGGATTTAATGTTACATTTCAGATTATAAGGAGAAAAGTGCATTTGCCACATGTGTTTCAGGAAATAGTTTCAACGGGCACTGAGCTGTGGAGACACAATTCATGTGTCAGAATTAAACATGGAATATGGGGCTCTTTATCTCCCCTTCTTTATATTTGACATCTATTCAAGGAATGTGCAACGTTCTCTGACGTGTTCACAACAAATACAGAAATCACTGGTAGAGTTTGCACTACTGGATAACATTGTTGGAAGTCTTGATAAAAAAAGCTGGAGATAGAGATGAAAATAATTAGCTTCTCCTAATGAAATACGGTACCTATTCTAGGAATGAGGTGAGCAGGCAAGAAACTGTAACAAACTGTGAGGTATTACTGCTTCTATTTTATATACCTGGTGTACCATGATCTGTCTGCAGGGCTGTTCAGCTGCCTTCACAAATAGAAAATGATTTTAAAAAATGGGGGGTTATCTGAGTTTTGAAACACTAAAAGAAATACACTGAATTTAGCAACAAAGGGGTGTGGATCCGAGCTTGGCTTTGCTGTGTTTCTGCAGCCCCTGACAGTGAACAGAGAAGATTTGCAAAATCATTTGGTGAACTTTGAGTTCCCACCCAGTCCTGTCTTGTCAGGAAAGCTCAGCTCCTTCCATTTGCAGAAATGAGCAGTGTCTGGAATAATTCCCTCACGCAATTCCCACAGGGTTGGCAGGCAGATAATGTGTTTTCCACAGCCCATATAGATCTGTGGCAGAGAACAGGAGTCATCAGCAGTCTCTCGCGTCTCCAAGTGCACAGCTCAGAGTGCACAATCTGTTAGTAAGAGCCATAATTTTTAAATCAGGTGAGTTTTTCTATTTTTTTTTTTAATAAAAATGAGATTAAACCAAGGAAAACCTAAAGCAATGTTGCCCAATGGCCAAAAATACAGCAATTTTTACTTCCAAAGGACTGATGAAATGATGACACATACCCTTAATTAGGCATTTGACTGAAATCATATCATTTACTTTAAAACTTTAGAATTCTGTAAGCATCTGCTGATGCTGAAAGTGCACAGAAGCCTGCCAAATTTCAAATTGTATTATTTAAGTATTTAATTCAGT